AGACATATTTCTGAGCTTGCTGTTCTAATTCAATGACTTATATATTACCTTTATGCCAATACTGCATTGCTCTGGTTAATGTAGCTTTTTTTTTTTAAAAAAAGATAAATATCTTTTTCTATATCTATTTGGGCTATACTCAGTCATACTGGTACTCCAAGGGCCACATTGTTGGTTTTAGGGTCCACGGGGTTACAGTTGTCAGAACTGGAGTTTGGGCATGTGATGCCAGGGATCAAATGTAGGCCTCATTCATACTAAGCATGTCCTTTGTTTCTTTGAGCTGTCTCCCTGGTGCTGTTAAAAGTATTGAATTTAGAAAGTGTGAGTCCTCTAGTTTCATGCTTCGTTGTTGTTATGTGTGGGTTTTTTGTTTGTGGCACACTTAGTAGTGTTTAGGTTCTACTCTCAGCTTTGTGGACTCAGGGTACACTGCAATTCTGGGATTGAACCCAGCTTCCTGCTTGTGAAGCTCCAGTCCCTAGCTTCTTAAAACTTCTTTTGCTTTTCAGGATACTTTGAGATTCCATATGAATTTTAATTATTTTTATTTTACTGTTCCCCCAAAGTCATTGAAATATTCATAGAAATTTTGTTAAACTTATAGATTGCTTTGGGTAGTATTGAAGTCTTATTTTTTTTATTTCTTTTTGGGTCACAGTGATGCACAGGCGTTACTCCTGGCTCTGCACTCAGGAATTACCCCTGGCGTTGCCCAGGGGACCATATGGGATGCTGGAATCTAACCTGTGCCGGCCATGTGCAAGGCAAATGCTCTACCCCCTTTGCTATTGCTCCAGCCCCAGTATTGAACTCTTAACAATGAAATCTAGTCAATTAACATGGGATGTATTTTCATTTATGTTTTCTGTAATCTTCTACCATCTTTCTTTCATGGTTATGCATACAGATATTTCACCTCTTTCATTAAGACTTTTCATTAAAATATAATACATCTGAAACTCAACTATCAACAGCTTTGTAATAGTTCTTTAATTGAATAAAATTATTTTATTTAATTAGATAAATATTTAATTAAAAAGGTAAAGGTAAAGGCCCTCCCGTTGATCGTCGATTTGCTCGAGCGGGCCCAGTAACGTCTCCATTGGAGACTTTGTTGTTACTGTGTTTGGCATATCGAATACTCTCGGTAGCTTGCCGGGCTCTCCGAGAGGAGCGGAGGAATCGAACTCGGGTCAGCCATGTTGGCCGCTTGTAAGGCGAACGCCCTACCACTGTGCTATCGCTCTTTCTTGGGCTGGAGCGATAGCACAGCAGTAGGGTGTTTGCCTTGCACGCAGCCAACATGGCCGACCTGAGTTCGATTCCTCTGCCCCTCTCGGAGAGCCCGGCAAGCTACCAAGAGTATCTTGCCTGCACGGCAGAGCCTGGCAAGCTCCCCGTGACGTATTCGATACGCCAAACACAGTAACAACAAAGTCTCCAATGGAGACGTTACTGGGCCCGCTTGAGCAAAATATATTTATAAAATATATAAAACACATATTTATTTTTTATACAGATGGAAAATTACCATATGAAAATATGCTCAACATTATTTGTTACTAGAGGAATTGCAAATTAAAACAATAGGATACTACTGTACACTTGGAGAGGCTAAAATTCAAAATACTGACATCACCAAATGCTGACACAGGTATGGAATTCTCATTCATTGGTTATGAGAATACAAACCTCTATAGCCACTGAAGAAAAATTTACATTATCTTATAAAACTAAACATACTCTTACTACATAAAACAACATTCACATAAAAATGAACTGAAAACATGTTTATACATACACACAACAAAAAAATTTGGTTATGAATGTTAGGCAGCTTTATTCATAATCATCAAAAATGGTAAACCAAATTTTTTTCAACAGGTAGAAAACAATAGGGGAATGAATAAATTAGTTGTGGTGTATTTGTACTTCAAGGCATGAATTCCAGCCCTTTGAGCTATCTCCCTGGCTTAGATTTATTTATTTATTTATTTATTATTTATTATTTTTTTTATTAGTGAAACACCATGAGGTACAGTTATAGACTTACAAATTTTTGTGCTTGGGTTTCAGTTATACAATGATCAAGTACCCATCCCTCCACCAGCGCTCATCCTCCAGGGCATTCCCTTTTGTTCTCTCTCTCTCCTTTTGGGTCCTGTGGTTTGCAAGAGAGGCATTGAGTGGCAATCATGTTTGGTCTATAGTCTACTCTCAGCATGCTTCTCCCACCTGGGAGGATCCTCCCAACACCCTTTATTTGGTGCTCTCTTCTCTATCTGAGCTTCCTTTTCCCCTAGCAGGTGTGGCTGGCCTCCAAGTCATGGAGCAAAATTCCTGGTACTACTCTCCGCCACTCCTGGGTGTTAGTCTCCCGTTTTGTTGCTTTATGTTCCCCAGATGAATACAATCTTTCTGTGTCTATCCTGCTCTTTCTGACTCATTTCACTTTAGCTATTCGTGGGGGCTTATTGTTCCATATAAATTTCAGGAGTGTTTGCTCCATTTCTTTGAAGAATGTCATGGGTATCCTTATAGGGATCGCATTGAATCTGTACAGTGCTTTGGGAAGTATTGCCATTTTGACAGTGTTAATTCTCCCCATCCATGACTAGGGGATATTTTTCCATTTCCTCGTGTCCTCTTTTATTTCCTGAAGTAGCGAAAAACATATATTTATAAAATATATGAAATATATTTATAAAATATGTATTTGTAAAAATATATAAATACGTACAAATAAATACTTTATAAAATATAAACATAAATATATAAATATCACTGTCATTATCACTGTCTTCCCATTGTTCATTGATTTGCTCGAGCGGGCCCAGTAACGTCTCCTTTGTGACAATTATTACTGTGTTTGGCATATCGAATATGTCACGTGTAGCTTGCCAGGCTTTGCTGTGCAGGCGAGATACTCTCGGTAGCTTGCTGGGCTCTCCGAGAGGGGCGGAGGAATCGAAATTGGGTTGGCTGTGTTGGCTACTTGCAAGGCAAACGCCATACCCATTGTGCTATTCCTCCAGCCCATATAAATATATATAAGTATATTTATATATAAATTAAATAAAATTATATAAATATATAAATTATTTACTTATAGAAATTATATAAATTATTACATAATTTATAAATTATTTAATTTCATTAAATACAATTATTTATAAAATTAAAAATAAACAATTTTTATAAGTTTTTAAAAAAAACCACATCTTACTGTACTTAGGGCGATATCCAGGGGATCATATATGATGTTATATTGAATTTTGATTAGGTCAGAAGTGTGCAAAGCAAGCACCTTTTTTCAAAAAAGAAAAATTATTTATTTATTTATTTTTGATTTTTGGGTCACAGTTAGCAATGCTCAGGGTTGGTCCTGGCTCTGCACTCAGGAATTACTCCTGGTGGTGCTTGGGGACCATATGGGATGACAAGAATTGAACCTGGGTCGGCCACGTGCAAGGCAAATACCCAACACACTGTACTATCGCTCCATCTCCAAAGCAAGCACCTTAAACCCCTGAACTATCTTTCCAGTGCCTCTTTTCCATGTTGTTATAAATAAAATATTTTCATAATTTATTTTTCAAATTGTTCATTTTGGGTTTTGGAGCTTAAACTGAGTTTTGTAAGTTTTACATTATTTACTATTTAATTTCTCTGTCACTGTCACTCTCCTCCCATTGCTCATCGATTTGCTTGAGCGGGCCCAGTAACGTCTCCATTGTGAGATTTGTTGTTACTGTGTTTGGCATATCGAATACGTCACGGGGAGCTTACCAGGCTTTGCCGTGGGGGCAAAATACTCTCGGTAGTTTGCCAGGGTCTCTGAGAGCGGCGGAGGAATCGAACCCGGCTCGGTCAGGCTGGTGGCTTGCAAGGCAAACGCCCTACCGCTGTGCTATCGCTCCAGCCCATACTATTTAATAATGTATTTATTAAATTCATTTTTAGCTCTAGCAGTTTAAAAAATAATCTTTAGAGTTTTTTTTATTTATAACTTCTTATCATTTGTCATTTGTGAACTAAGAAAACTGTTCCTTCCTTTCCAGTTTGGATTGCCTGCCTGCCTGCCTGCCTGCCTGCCTGCCTGCCTGCCTGCCTTCTTCCTGTCTTCTTACTGCCTTCTTGCTACCTTCTTCCTGCCTTCTTCTTGCCTTCTTCCTGCCTTCTTCCTGCCGCCTTCCTGCCTTCCTGCCTTCCTGCCTTCCTGTCTTCCTCTATCAGTATTATATTGTTAAGTGGCATCATTCTTATCTTGTTCCCAATCTTAGGGGAAAAGCCTTTTCGGTCTTTTATTATTGCTTACTGTAATTTTCAAATATATATATATCTATTATTATGTTGAGATACAGAATAAAGATTTTTTAAAATTTTTTGTACTTTTCAAATTATTCAAGTAAAGCAAAAATTAAAGACAGAAAGAAAAGAAAGAAAGAAAGAAAGAAAGAAGAGAAAGGAAGAGATAGAAAGAAAGAAAGAAAGAAAATATCTTGTGTAGGAAAAACTGATTAAATGACTACATGAAAATATACATGTGTACACTTACTTGATAATTATATATATAATTCATGCATCTGTATATAAATAATACTAAAAGAATTATTGAAATATTAGAACCATTTAAAAATTATAGATGAATTGCTTGTAAATAAAACTGTATTCCAACTATTTTTAAAAAAATTTAATATTTGTATACTTATTTATTTTTGCATGCTTGGAATAGATACTAGGGTCTCACATATGAGAAGCATGCCCTCTGCCACTGAGCTGCCACCCTCAACTCCAACTGCACTAGATGATGCATTTATTGGGTATTACTTGATGTTTGGTAATTATGTTTAAATTGCAATGACTTACTTGGGAATTACAGAACAGTAATATGAATAGTCTATTTGTATTTTTAATTTGACACTGGTAAGTAAATAAATCAGTATGTTTAGTATAAAATACAGTCTCCTAAAATACATATATTTTTCTCATTTCAGGGAACCTCATGAGACCTCTTTTAAATTATGGTATTGCCTGGTGAGCACATCTTTTTAACTTTTTGTGATACTTCAGAATAATATTGATTAAATGGTATCAATCAGTTGTATCTTTGGTTTGCTGCTGCAGTATGTCTATGGGCTTCTTGATTGAAGAGAATGCACCAGTTGTTTGGAGAGGCCTTATGGTAATGTCAGCTGTTGAGAAATTGCTGAGACAGGTAAGAAATTGCATTTAACATTATTTTATTATTGGCATTTTCTGGGTAATGCATTTGGTGATTGGAGAGTTGTTAAAATTTGCAGTCAGGCTTGAGTTGTTTTGCAAAAAAAATCTAGTTGATAGATAGGATAGATAATGAGTTATGTGGTACCAAGAGCAAATTTCACTGTTAACATGATTTAATCTCTTCCATTGCTTATGACCATTAAAATCCTAATAATTATTAAAAATCCTAATATTTTATGTTATTCTATCTCTCTGTTGGGATTGACGTAAGAGGAGGAAATCTATTTTATAACCTGTTTTTTATTTTTTTAATTTTTTATTTATTTTGCTTTTTGGGTCACACCTGGCAATGCACAGGGGTTACTTCTGGCTCTGCACTCAGGAGTTACTCCTGGTGGTGCTCAGGGAACCATATGGGATGCTGGGAATCAAACCCGGGTCGGCTGTGTGCAAGGCAAACGCCCTACCCACTGTGCTATCTCTCCAGCCCCATATAACCTGCTTTTTAAAGGTTGATTATTAATCTCATTGATGCCAATTCTAAATTATAGGTGCAATGTAGAAATTCCTCACATGTAGAAAAACTATATAAACCATTGTGCTTTTTCATTTAAAATCATATCAGACCAAAATTAAATTTGTTTTACTCGGAGTGCATATGGCTATGTACTGACATATGTAATATCTGTCCAATTAACTTTAATTTTTTCTTAAGAACAGAAGAAAACAGTTAATTTGATAATCTAAAAATATTAGATGGTCTCTACATTGTGGATTGAACTTTTTTCTTAGCTATGAATTTATAATTAAGTAAATATACATAATTTAGATTTTTCTTCGCTAAATTTTAAATAACTATATTTTTATTTTTGATGGGACCCTGCCAAAATTGTCTATAGCTTGACAATTCCTATCGTAGATTTTTCTGTATTTTCAATTGCACAAGTAAGTAGCTGCAATAATGTCTTGAAGTCTGAAATTTTCCTCTGTATCAGCAATCTGATGAGAGCATGTCTGTAGAGGTAATTCTTTTTTGTTTATAATTTTTCCTGCTTAAGTTTTGATATACTGTTGATCAGAATCTTATTTTCCTAGTGCATTTAAATTTTTTTGTGTTTGCTTATATTTTATACTTAGATCCTACAGTTAGTAATTTCAGTTGTCCAAATCATATATCTTCTCTATCAATTCATTTGAGACCTTGACATTTATCGTGTGGTTTAAACGAACCACTATTTTATTAAAGGAAAATTTAAAACAATCTTTATTCTGCTTATAGTTAAAGTTAGAGTCAATAGAAATTTGAAGATATAAAAAGAAACATTCTTATTTTGTTGTGAGAATATTTTATTTTGTTTTATTATAATTATTTTTCAATAATGTAGGGATAGTGCTATTTGTTCAGCCATTGATTAAGCTGATTGAATTGGGCATGGACTACACATTCAGCCATATAATGATGGAACACCCATCCCTCTACCAGTGCACATTTTCCACTACCAGTGTCCCCAGTATTCTCCTCACCCCCGCATCCCTGTCTTCACCCTGCCTCTATGGCAGACAATTTCCCCAATACTCTTGGCACTAATTTTGGGCAATATGTTTTGCTCGAATTTTCCCACCACCATTCAAGCCTACCTGCCAGGGGCATATGCTAGATAATTTATTTTCCATTGCTCATTTTAAAAATTGTGAGAGCTCATGTGGCCATAGTTGTAAATGTAAATTTCTAGATTGTAAATGGTTGGGTTCCAGAGACATCTCTGTATGGCACTAATCCCTTTTGGGATTCAGTTGGGAGTCTCTGGGCCAGGGCTCTTGGTGGACTAAGATGGCACCTGAAGGCAAATTGTGGGCATGACAACCAGTCCGCTGGGCGGGTGGAGACCTGGGGAGGGACAGCCCTTGTTGTCTGCTGCCATGCGGCCTGGAGATTTAGTCCTGGAATCTGCATACCTGGGCCTTGCTTGTAGAAGCTCTTGGTCACCTGAATTCTATCTGGAGTAGGCGGGGAGACTGCACCTGGTCCATCTGGGGTTCTCCAGTGAAAATGGCACCGTATGGGGCCCAGAGAGGTCTCCGATGTGGTGTCTTCAGGAACTTGCTGCTGTGTCTCTGGGTCAGGGCTGTTGGTGCGCTAAGATGGCACCCGAAAGCAAATTGTGGCCTTGACCGCCAGTCTGCCGGGCAGGCGGGGACCCAGGGAGGGCTATCCCAGGTCTTCTGCCTCCATGCAGCCTGGAAATTTACCCGCATACCTGGACCTTGCTTGTGGAAACTCTTGATCACCAGGATTACATCTGGAGTAGGCGGTGAGAATATTTTAAACATAAAATTTCTCCTACTTATGCTAATGTATAATTCTCAATATGGAATTACTTAGAATTTTTGTATGGATGAACACAGATGGTATTAATGCTTTTGTTTTTCTCATGATCAGAGACTTAGAGATTCATGTTAGCAATAAGAGCACAAAGATCCAGAACAGGCCTTGGTGTCCTGTAGGTGTCCTTTTAAATTCTTAAGAACACTTTAAGTCTCATTCTAACTGTGACAGAAATATCTCTGCAAACAAAGGAGTCCCCTGAAGGTGGGAGAGAGTGCCTGAGTGTGCATGTGCCTGCCCAGAAGGAGACCAGACTTAACAAGGCAAATTAATTTAATTGTAACTGAAGCTCAAACTTAAATTGATTACCTACTTTTACAAATGAAAACAAGTCTTTGAGATCACAAGTAAAAGGGTTAAAAAAATGGAAGAAACCAGAGTTGTTTATTATTATTATTTTGGAGGATGTTGCCAAAGGGAGGAGGGCTAGATTCCAATTCCAAATTTCAGTGTCCTGCCATTACCCAGTTTCTTTTGTCTTGTGCTGAATACTGTCAGAGAATATAGAATAATTGTATTCATTGCCAGTATTTTACATTTTTGATTTCTAAATTTAGCCATGCTCTCAACATTTCAGTCGTCTGACTCTATTCATTGTTCTTCTCAAGATTGAGCAAATCCTTAACCTGAAAAATATTTGGAAATTTGGTAGTCTGACATATGACTTAGTGAGTATTTGGAGATTTGGCTCTCGGATAAATCGTACAAAAATCACAGTTTAATAAGTATTGAAAAGACATTTTTCTTCTTTTGCAAATATTCTGCAGAATACCAGGATGAAAGATGGGGTGGACACATGGATTCATAACTTAAGTTTATTGGGATAGTTAATGGATACTTAGAGTATCCACTAATATCCTCTAGTATCCTGGTATTCTAATATATTCCCTTCCTTTCCCTCTCCCCTCCCCCACTGCTCCCTCTCCTACCCTGCCTCTCCGTTTTCTCCCTCTCCCCTCTTCTTCTCCCCTCCCCTTCCTTTCCCTTCCTCCCCCCTTCTCTCTCTTTTCCTATTCTCTATCTCTCCTCTTCTCCTCTTTTTGAAATAGTGTTTTTGTACCCTTGGGGTAAATGCCAAAAGTGGAATTGCTGGGTCATATTGAAGCTTGATTCTTAGTTTTTTGTTGTTGTTGTTTTGGTTTTGGGGTCATACTCAGTAGTGCTCAGTAGTTATTCCTGGCTTTATTCTCAGGAATTACTCCTGGCAGTGCTTGGGGGACCACTGGCATGCTGGGAATTGAATTTGGGTCAACTGCATGGAAGGCAAATGCCCTACCCACACTGTACTATCACTCCAGCTCCTTGATTCTGAGTTTTTTGAGAAGTATCCATATTGTTTCCAATGAAGCTAAGAACCAGTCAGCATTACCTTTTCCAACAATATTTTCTAATTTGTTTGCATAGAATCCTCACATCTGTGCCAACACTTTAAAAAATTCCTTTGCATATGTGCCAGTCTCAGTGGTATGAGGTAGTATCTCATTGCTGTTTTGATTTTTATTTATACAAGGTGGCTGTTGATTTGAGTATGTAAAATAGTCTGTATCCCTGGAGCAAGTTCCACCTGATCATGGTGGATGCTTCCTTTAACATATTGAATTCAGTTTGTTAATATTTTCTTCAGGATGCTTGCATGTAGATCCATTAGATATATTCATCTGTAGGTGTGTGTGTGTGTGTGAGAGAGAGAGAGAGAGAGAGAGAAAGAGAGAGAGAGTGTGAGAGAGAGGGAGTGCAATATTAGTTTGGAAATTTATTTTATTCTTCTTTTGGATTTTATGGAAAAATTGAGAACTGATTATTTTGATACAGTGAAATTCACTAGTTAATCCATCTGACACTTTTTATTTCTTTTTTTTTATTTTAAAAATGTATTATTCTTTTGAGTCATAATTAGCAGTGTTCAGAGCTTACTGTAGCTCTGTGCTCAGGGATTGCTTCTTGCAGTGCTGCAGGATTATGTGAGGTCTTGGAGATCAAACCAGGATCAGCAGTGTGCAAGGCAAGGCTTTCACCCCTGAACTCTCTTTTGCCTTGGATTTGAATAGTTTAAATATGTCATCCAATCTCCTACAGCTTTGGATTTTCTGTTGAGAATGATGAAAACCTGGTAATCTGAAAACCTGCCTTTATAAATAACTGAAAAACAAACTATTTACTTTTACTGCTCTGTGTTTGTGCTAAATTCTTACTAGCTTCTTACCTGTTTATCTTGATCTAAGTCTCTTTTGCCCTTAAATAGTTCTATTAGTTTCATGTTAGTTCCTTCCCCAGATTTGGAAAGTGTTCGACTGTCATAACTTTGAATAAGCACCTTCTCTATTTCTCTTCCGCCTCTGGGCTCTCCATTATTCTTATTTCCCCTTTCTTAATGGGGTCAGATAATTCTTTAATTTTTTTTTAAATTAAAAAAAATTTTTTTTTGGGTCACACCCGGTGATGCTAAGGGGTTACTCCTGGCTCTGCACTCAGGAATTACCCCTGGTGGTGCTCAGGAAACCACATGGGATGCTGGGAATCGAACCCAAGTCAGCTGCGTGCAAGGCAAAGCGCCCTACCCGCTGTGCTATCTCTCCAGCCACAAGGGTCAGATAATTCTTAAAGAG